TGAATATATCACATTCTACAGGATGTTCCAAAAATTGTGGTCTGAATAGGTGCATGGCAGCTCCGTATGCAGAAGTAAATAAAAAGAGAGAGTACATTTTTTTTAACACAGCTTTGCTTTTGAGAAAATTAAATTTGAAAGTGCTTATACAAATTTATAAGAATATTTGTTTATAGCGAAGATAATAATATGTATAATAATATGTAAAGATAATAATGTATAATTGTTTACGTCAATTACAATAATTATTTTGGTAAGGAAACAACTAATGGATATCATAAATTAATAAATGAAATAATTAACATTGTCACAATTTTCTTAATCACTGTCTTTTCTAGTACTGTCGCTTACATGTATTTATCATACTGCAATTTAAATCCATAACATTGTTCATTAATATATCAGCAATACTACAAGAAATAATGACTGGTAATATCTTTTAACGGTATTAATATTTACATTTATTGATTTATAATCCATTAATTATTAAGTTAATAAAAATGACGGCGCAGTTCTCGCTTCTCTTGATGTTAATTTTGTTGTTACAACTACTTGAAAGTTGTACAAATTAATTTTTTAAAAAAAAAGATGAATTTCGAGAGACTGATTTTTAATTCTTTACTTATTCTTACATGCAGAATTACGCTTTTACCGCGGTTTTTGAAACATCCTGTACATATATGTGATTTTGATAACAAATGTGTTGACAATTAAATACGAAAAATTTCTTAATAAATTCTTGAACTACAAAATATCATTATTTTTCTTTCATATCATTATTTTGATGAGAAAATGAAATACGTACTACCACGCTAATGTGTATTACAGTAATAAAAAATATGTGGACAAATATAAACTTTTAAATTTATTAATTATTTCAGTCAAATAACTTATTCGTCCACTGATAAACTGTTCTTTCATCAATAATTATTGTATAAAGTATATCTAAATAATTAAATAGAAAGTGTTTGTCGAAACTCTGATGTTTTATACAAGTATAATTTTCGATTTATTGTAAAATAATCATAATTAAAAATGTCTATATAAATGTTCTCGCTATTCAACCTTTGAACGGCGGATTCGCTGAGATAGCGACGATACAGTGGACTTCCGTTATATTGCCACCTTCATGGATTTTTACGTAGTTTTATCATAAAACTAAATCTGAAGTATCTGATTTGAAACTTCAAGTTTAGAAATTTAAATTTGAAATTACAAATCTGGAGATTCAAAAATGAACAATTTTTATTTAATAACTTTGATTCAAAAATTCGAAATTGGAAATTTATATTTGAAAACTCAGATTTGAAAATTCAAACTTAAAAATTAATAATTCAGATGTAAAATTTCAGATTTGAAAATTTGTATTCACAATCTTTAATTAGGAGATTCAGATATGAAGATTTAAATTTAGAAGTCAACTTGGATTTCTCGCCGTTACCGCACCGTTTGTTGCAATATAACGAGAGTCAACTACAAATTTAATTTTGTACTCGATTCTATCTCCTTTAATACTAATTTCCAATGTATAGAACTGTTGCGCTAGAAAATGCACGTTCCTAACTTTATTCCAAATACCACTATATATAATCCATAATTCTGGGTCACGATTGACCCATGTTCCGTCGTTTGAAGGTGAAATATTCCTTCTCGCAAACTGCACTATTCCTCAATTTCTTCCAACTATCTATAATAAAACAGAAATAAATTAATGGCCTATAAATTTGTATTTACATAGAAACTGATTATTTTGTATCAACTATTGTAATTACTTTTTTACGCAAATTATTAACAGTTCACAGTTTAATTAATAACGAATGAACTTTTGTTAATTAACGGTCGATTAAATCACTTCTTAATAAATATAGGGACAATATAATATAGTAAACGTAATTAGAGGTCATCAAATGTTTGTGATACCTTCGATTATACCGATAAGCGTTGTTCACGATCATTTTTAGAGAAACAATGCGAGCAAAGAAAGTTTTATTCATTTCTATCGTGCAAATGTGTCGACAATTGCGGAGCTTCAGGTTCTCGGATGAGCAAGTTTCGATATAAATCCGTTTTCGAGTTTGCTCGGAGCATAGACGATATAAGTGGTTTACTGTTATATAACACGATGCTTCTGTCATCTGCAGATCGTTGCTTTGTGGAATAACATTGTTGAGAAGCTATCACGAAGACGTGTAACGTCAACGGTTCGAGATAATGTACTATTAACACTTTGACTACCATGTTAAATTCATTGAATATATCTCGAGGCTCCCTTGCACCGTACTGATATTATTACTAATAATATTACTGATTTTAACTTGTAACTTGTCAAATTGCTCGTCTTATGCAACAGGACTCTAATTACAATTTGCAATTTCTAAATGCGTTAATATTATTGGACAATGAATTATTGTGAAAAATAATTTTATTTTCGACTTTTGTATATTATTTTCTGCGTTTGGTTCTTTGCTGTATGTGTTGTAGTAGTTAATAAAAATTTTTCTTGCGAAACACATATAGTTTTTCCTGTTGACATAATTTTAATATATCAGTGAAATTATTTAACTCTCAATATAAATTTTGTTTCCATGCCTAGTTTTATTTATATTTTTAAATAAATACTATTTTTCAGTAGATTTTCTTGAAAATTATGTAAGTAATATTCGAATGAAAATTTAAATAATTTGAATGAATTTTGAATACGACAATTATTTGAGAATGTTGAATAACTTTGTATAGTCCTTCATTTAAAATAATAAATAATCCAATATAAGAGGTTGAAGTCAAATTATCTGTTATTATATTTAAATAAATTTACCAGAGCTGTATTTTTAGAAACCCAAATTTCCATACATACTGAGATAAAAATTTGCTTAAATTATAAAGTGTTCTAGAAATTATTTAAACAAAAATGTATTCTAATACAAAATAAAAAATTATTTTTTTCATATACGATTAACGAAATAATCTAACGAAAAATCTTATGTAAAAATATGTTATACAATTATTTTACATAACCAGATAATTAAAGAATTTAATTATTTCAAATACCTATGACAATGGGAAAATATATTATTCGAATCATTATTTTCCAAGTACATCATTTAAATGATATCTCTAATCGTATACAACCGTGTTCTAATTATCGAACACTCAAGTTTTCAAATTCCACAAAAATAATATTGCAAGCAATAAGTAAAATGCAAAAAAAAAAAATAAGAAAAAAGTCAAATTAAAATTCTGGGACATAGCAATTTTTCAAATTTTCAATTTTCAGAAAAAATAATATTCCAAGCAATAATATAAAATGTGAGAAAAATGAAAAATGTTAAATTAAAATTGTAAAGCATAGCGTTCGGGTATTTGTATAATACATATCAATGTATTTCATTTTTCACCGTTATATTAGAAACAAAATGCACAATTATAATACGTATGTATATCATAATTGCATTATAAACAGAATACATAATTGTATTATAAACAAAGAACACAATTATAATACATATGTATAATACATAACTGCATTATAAACAAAATTTTTGCGAATGTGAGATTATGATGCGTCGTAGATTATGGTAATCAGATTGTTAAAAAATTCTCTTTTTACCGATACAAAAACGAACCATACTGTATCATCGCAACGAAATCGATATACAAACGAGACCTCGATGCAAAAATTGTGATCGTGCTTTGCATCGGCAGCGACGTGTATGCACCTTTTTATGCTCACGAAACGAGAACTCGATAGCTCCGTGATCGACGGCACTGACGGGACAAAAATGGCAGTAACAATAAGAGAACACATAGTTTTAAGGAACGTAAAGGATAAGAAACAAAGACCTTTATAGCGTAAGCGAAGTTTCGTTTATTATTTATTGATACCCCTCCACGCCACTCGCATATCATTGTTAAAAAATAACGTTCGATTACCATCGTAACGGTATTACAATAAATGTATAAAATTTATGTATCAAATACATGTATGTATATATATGTATATTACAAAGAACAAGAGAGATACAAAAAAGAAGAAAAAAAAGGGAAGAAAGAAAAAGAATACCTGAATTCCTCTTCTGCGAGCTCCACTGTTTCGAAGTTGCTCGAAAGGCAGTATTGAATGGCAGTTTGTTGTAATGGCAGTTTTAATAAAGTACATACTAAGAATTTACAGTCTGACGTATTTTTTTAATACATTAATCAGCAAAGTGCAAACAAACTTTTCTGTAAAAGGTTATTGCATAAATAATGCAACTTTTAGGTTATGTGTCGGATAATTAGTAGTGCATTTTATTTAATAATAGCGTGGAAAATGTTTATACGTCTTTATACGATAAATACTTTCATGATAACGTCGTATGATAACGCTTTCAAATTCAATTGTGTAACATGACACGTTTTGGACAGCGAAGTCTAATATTACACAGTTGGATTCCAGGGTGTGTTTAGACTGTAGTTTGTAATTTACATTAATCCGTATGAATTACATGTTTGCACTTTGCAGGAAATTTATCTTAGCACTTTCAGTTTTAGCTGTGTAATATCACGATGGAATATAACAAGATTTATCTGTGCCTTAATAATCATGTGTACACAAAATTTAATTCATTAAAACTAAAAATTAAAATGTTATTTGCTAAAATTGAAAATTTTAATTTTATTTAGTAAAATGAAAAATCTAAATGTTATTTAATAAACTTGAAAATGAAAACTCTATTTAATAAAATTGAAAATCTAAATTTTATTTAGTAAAATGAAAAATCTAAATTTTATTTGATAAACTTGAAAATCTAGACTCTATTTAATAGAATTGAAAATCTAAATTTTATTTGGTAAAAGGAAAAATCTAAATTTTATTTAGTAAAATTGAAATTCCGAATTTTATTTAATAACATAGAAAATCCAAATTCCATTTCATAAAATTGAAAATTTAAACTCTATTTAATAAAATTAAAAATCTAAATTTTATTCAGTAAAATTAATAGTACCCTGTCTTGTTAGATCGAAAGTTTAAACTCAAATATGTAATTTTGCGCATCTTAGGTGGTAATGTGTAATATTACACAAGTGCATTCCATGTAAATGCGATACCTTTAGAATGTATGGTATTTCACTTAAATACGATCTCTTTAGAACGTACAACATTATAAAACTGGACCTCATCAGGATGAATAATATTATACAAATGGATGGAGAGCATAAAGACTGCAATTTGCAAGCCACAGCAATCTGCAAAAGAGATTTACGTCGGCAGTTTACAAAAAATTCATCTTTCAACACTTTCACATTCAAATGTGTAATACTAGCCATACTAGATAGGTAACGTGTAATATTGCACATCTGTTGAACAATTACTATTAAATTTTATTCGGCGATAATCTGCTCTTCACACCATCTTGCACAGAGATAATTTCATATTTAGTATGTTCAGATCCTAGTAAGCAATTTTACACATCTTAAACGACAATGTGTAATACACAACTGGGTTTTATTTGAATCCCGTATCTCCAAAGTGTATAATATTATTGAATCTTATTTGCATACATCGCTTTAGAATGTCTAATTGTACAAATGTCTACCACTGTATAATTGAATCTCATTAGAATATGTAATATTGCACAGATTAATCCTAAAAGGTATATAATATTACCAAGATTAATTTTAAAGGGTATGTGTTACTGTAACATATGTGTATATTACAGTATATGTTACACACGTCAATCTTATAGGGTATGTAATATTCGACACATTAATTTTGCAGGGTATGTAATATTACACAGATTACTTTGACAGAATACATAATATTACACAGATTAATCCTACAGAGTAATATTACACAGTCAAATCGATCTCATCTCTCTATAGCGGGTAATATTACACAATTAAATTTTACTGCAACCTTTTTAGAATATGTAATATGACCCAGGTGCCTCGTATAATATTACATAGTTGGGACTGAAAGTGCTAAGACCGTAAGTTGAATGTGTCTTCATCTTGCACAGTATTCATTCTTAACATTTTCAGATCCAACCAAATAACGTTACACATCTTCGACGATGATGTGTAATATTACACAGTTGGATCTCACGGGTATCCTCTTCAGAAAGTATAATACACAGTTAGGTCTGAAAGTGTTCAAACAGTGTATTTCAAACTCGAAGTTTCTCAATCCTCCATGGGCAATCTGTGTCGGCTCGAGCGAAATTTGACTTCTCGATCTTTATTTTTATCAAGAATAGTTCGAGCAAAATTTGCGTTAATATATAATCGCGGCTTCCGAATTGAGAAAGTTCAAGCAGTAAAATAACATGGGTGACCCAGATCGTCAACGGAGGTTTAAGTTCAGGGAGACAAGTGAAATGTAAAAAAAGAAAGGAACACCGTTCATCACCAATTAACCCGATAACCCTAATCAATTTCGCAAAACAACAGTCCACCGTTGTCGCCATCATTCATTGCCAAAGCTCGATCGTTCCGTGTGAAGGGTCAAAAGTCAAAGATCACTTGTCAGCTGTTGAGCCGAGCGTTCAAAGAAGGAAACTCGTATCGTCGGATCTTGGAACAGAGTCCCGCGAAATCGATCGGCTTTAATTAGACTTAATTAAAGCGAGGAACGAACTGGCAGCTCCCCTATCGACGGAGGAACTACTCTCTTGACATAATTTATGCTCGCAGCCGCAGAACCGGCCTTTCTTCGCCGGTTAAATTACTTTCGGTTATTGCGGCTCGTCTGGGAACAACCTGGTCCCGATCCTTTACGCGCAACATCTACGCCGTGGCAATATTCTGGTCTCGACACGACCCCTGCCGTAATGAGTCGACGTAGAAGCTATGTGGTCGGTCCTCGAGAAGCGTTGCTGTTGTTGTTGGTACTGACGTGGGTGCCGATCTGTGAACAGATTGGTAAATTAATGAGGAATAGTTCCTGAGCGCAGGCAGCGAGTAACATTTTGACCGTTTATTTTGTAAGCGGTATAAGAAAAGTGCGATATCACGTAATTTCTGCTTAATTTACCATAAACTTTTTATTTATAACTAGTTAGTATTTAATCTCTTAAAATATGGCAATAGTTTGCTCAATTTAGAATTGGTTTGTAAAAGATATTACGTAGCCACTAATTATGAAAGAGGTATGAGTGCAATTTCATATAGGCATGAAAATGTTACATGCCTATAATTAAAGTTACATTAAAGTTACATTTGCTTTATTTTACATCACAAAATAATTAAAATGTTAAAAAAGAACGTGGACAAAATAATAAATTTATTTTATATGAAATGAAATGGAAGAATTTTATATTAATATTAGATTTGCCACCTATATGTCGGAAGTCCGCCAAATTTTATTTTTCGTGAGATGTCCAAACATTAATATGACGTGAAAATAAGGTAGCCTATTATTTAAAATTACACATGTAAATATTATAGTTGAAAAGAAATTGTTTATACATTTTAAACATATTCCATGTTAAGCTGTTTTTGCCGCAGATGATCTCCCGACCAAGATGATTTTTAGCGTATTAAATAAACATGCCTGAGTATTTATGATACACGTGGTCTGTATATCAACTTTAACATGTACCACAAATGGTTTATACGAAACGGAACGTGTTAATATACAATAAATGATCCATATTTTTATAAAATAAGTAGTCTGATATACATATAAACCAGCATTCCTTAAATGAAATAACAAATACAAAAGGTATGTTATTTTCGTTCCGTCATTACTTTCGTCCATGTTCTCCTACATGACTGATTCGATTCAAATTGAATAGATTTATGGGCATCGCAGGTTTTTGAAAGAATGCTACATTACTATTAAATTTCGCTTCCTTGAAATCGCATTTTCTTTGCGACGTTCGTTGCTGGTTGAGGGTAGTAGAAATGCACTTAACGAATGCAGTAGGTAAAAATATTACTAATGCAAAAAACCTGTATTTTGACGTCACATACTAGGTATTCTTGCTTTATATAATCTCACATTGCACCGTCACGTGTTTTATAGTGTTGCATTATATCACCACGCGCTGTATTTCATTAAAACTATTAAAATTGTCTTGCTAGATATAGGAGTTTTATTCAAATTTTATTAAATCACGACAAGTTTTTCGTCGGGGCTATTTAATTATTACTGTAGTATTAAGATAAATATAGAACGTTAAAATGTTAGGTATATTTTAGATTTAGCAATCTTTAATTATACAAATTAAAGTGGTATAGAATTAAAAATCCCATATTTATGCAAATACGATTCAAGTATGTCACATATGAACTGTAACATGCGGCACGAGTCTGACTTGATGTTATAAGCTAAGGGGTTAATTCTATACCACACTAGACTCTAGCGTGTAGACTCCACGGTAGATCACTGTAGACCACGGTAAACTCGCTTTACAATCTCGTATTATATCACCTCGAGTTGTGTAGTCTAAATATTCAAATAATCTTTTCAAATATATAATTCCATCCCGACCATTCATTCATATATACAACAGGTCAAAATGTGACAGGAGAGTACTACAGGCCAAACAGCGCCAGATACGATATTTTGTCTCAGAAAACTTTTTTAATATCGGCCAAAACCCCCCGAAAAATTGTCGAAGATACCAAAAGGGTAACGGAGGGCGAAAAACGCCACGGTGAGCAAAAGAGAGTTGAATGAAAGTGAGGGCGAAAACGATAAAATTGTTGTTCTTGCCCAAATACTTACTGGTGATAATTTTGATGGAAAGAAGGATCGCTGATATTTAATATGAGTGGACTGTATTAATTTATTAGACGCTTGAACTATTAAGGAACTGTGTCCTCCGAGTACAAAAACCTCACTGTCCGACGACCGGAACACTACTTACAAAAGTGCTTGATAATATGCATTTGAGAACTGTGTCCCGCAAAAGTACAATAAAAATACAACCACAGTATATTTACAATGTAAAAATGAAAATTCCATGTTATCCGTATTTTGTATCTACTAGCATACTTTTTACATCGAAACTTACAGGAAGATACATCAACTTTTGAACAGAAAAATGAACAAAAAAGTGTCATTTTTTAATATATTATTCAAACAAATGCGAATATTTTTATTGGTCTAGCACTGCTGGTTCACGAAATATTCAACAAAATATGATTCACACCACGCAATTTAGGGATTATTTTCACCTCCTTAACATAATTGTCGGCAGCTAAAAAAAATACGTGTCAAATATTTTTTCGAGAACTATATTACGAGGTGTGACCCAAAAGAAACGAGACTCGGTATGTATCTGGAAAAAACAATGGAATTGGCAGCAATTGTTTTTGTGGCATCATCTCATATACCTCCTCTATCCATGTTGCAAATTTCGATTGAATCGGTCATAGCATTTGGAAGTATTGCATTATTTAGTGAACACGTGCAACTGCATTCTGCCAGAAAAATGTCTAACGTAAAAACCGAACAGCGAATAAACATCAAGTTTCTTGTAAAATTTGTTGAAATATGTTGTAACATGTGATGAGACATGGATTTTTACCTATGACCCATAAAGTAAGCGCCAGTCGATGCAGTGGAAATCTTCAGGATCCCCAAAACCCAAAAAAGCACGCATGTCAAAATCAAAATTCGACATTAATGGAATTGCAATGATTGAGTGGTTTCCCAGTGATCAGACTGTTAACCAACACTATTACATTGAAGCACTAAAAAGATTTAATGAAAAAATTATGGAAAAAAGGCCACAGTTGTGGAGCGATGGATGGCTGTTGCAGCAGGACGATGCACCCGCTCACACGGCACTGTCTGTTAAGCAGTTTCTGACCAGCAAAAATATTACTGTGATAGGGCATCCTCCTTATTCACCTGATTTGGATCCATGCGACTTTTTTTTATTTCCTAAAGTTAAATTTTGCTTAAAGGGAACCCATTTCACCTCAGTTGAAGAGGTTCAGGCAAAAACGGAGAATCTTCCGAAAGGACTTCCAAAAACTTCGTTCCAGAATTATTACCAGCAATGGCAGCGCCGAATGCATAAGTGTGTGAATGCTGAAGGGGACTACTTTGAAGGTGATAATGTCACATGAATACTGAAGGGGACTACTTTGAAGGTGATAATGTCACAGGGAACTGATTCTACAGGTACAATGATTTATTGGACCAGTCTCGTTACTTTTGGGTCACACCTCAAAAGAACACAAGTTTCAGAACGATCGGAAATTATCACTTCGGGATGGTGCATTATTAGCTTCTATGGCTGCTGAAAATCTGATCGCCAAAAACCTAAATCAACAGAAGAGAACTTCCATAGACTACCCTTCTAGATTGTCTAATAGTTTGAGCGTCAAGGTCGACTTGACTTAATTATGCAATTATGCAAATGCAATTAATTAACTAATAGTTAGCCTTATTTTGTGTCATAGCAAGCAACAGTAATATCTACGCAGTTTGTAAATTTTAATAGCTGCCATTTGGTTCACGACACGCTGACCTACGGCTTGACTTCAACAATAGACCGACGGTCATGTCATAAACCTGGGTCTCTAATAGGTCCTTAACAATTGTCTCATTAAATATTAAGCTGCTTTCATTAAAACTTTATTAGATTACAGTGTATTGAGTAGACTCACTTTGTAGAAGTCTCATGTTATATTATCAAGCGCTGTGTAAATCTTAATTTATATCATTATGTATCGTATCGTTCAGTATTGTATGGCACTGCGTTATAACCTTGCGCTGAATGAGTGCGAAATACGAAATATGTATATGGCATCGCATTGTGTAATACTGTATTACTGCGTTATATGGTCTTTAGCACCAGAACAATAAGGTAAGTCACATAAGGTGAAATAGGGTAAGTGCAGACTGGTTTTTGTAAAGTGGGTATTTAAACGTAAGTATTTTCAGTCTACTATGTAAATACTTAACACTGTCGATATCGAACGCTTTGCACAATTACTACTATTTAATTAATATTAACCAGGACCTCAATTTTCTTTGTACATTTTGATTTTGACAGAAAACTGTTTAAAATGTTAACTACTCTGCACTTTCCCTGAAAATGAGGTAAGAGCGTAACTTAATGTTAAATACTTTGAAACTTTATTTCATGTGTAATGGGGCAACAGCAAAATTATTAACAAATCTGCTATAAAATGCTTCTTATTGCATTATGCAAGTACTCTATACTGCAAACAAGTACTCTTAGCTGAAATATAAAAGGGGATACAGTGTAACAAAACAAGGGAACAAACATACTAAATGGAGAAATTTCACTCATACTGTAATAAAAATAGGCTGTATATGCACTTGCCCCGTTTACGAACTTACCCCAGATCACCTTAGATCGATTCAAGTTTATGTAGATTTAACTTAATTCCATTTTACATTCATACAATAGGTTTTCCTATAGAAAAGAACGAATTAGGAGAAAGGGATCTTTCCAGGCCTGTTATTAGTATTTGGTAAATTTTCAAATTTATAAGTTATCAAATATAATATTTAAAAGATTACAAATTCTAGAGATGTCAAAATGGGGGAAATGTGGAAAATTTAAGAATGGAAAAACATGGTAATTTCGAATTTTTGGATTCAGGAAATTTAAGTTTGGGAAAGTTATAAATTTGAGAATGTGAAAATTCAATAACTTAGGAATTTGTAAATCTGGGAAGTTGGCAATGATTGAGACAGTTCGCAATATAGGAACTTGATAATTTGATTTGAAAATTTTTGAAATTGAGTACTTGTAGATATAAGCATTTGAATCTTTAAAGATTTACTATAAACATTATTACTTACTCTAAAATTATTTACTCTAAAAAGTGGATTTGAAAACTGAAGATTTGTAGATTTGGAAATATGAGATATATGAGAACTTAGCAAAATTGAGATATACATATAAGAAGTTAGAA